TACTAAGCAGACTTACCACGTACGAACTAGACAAAACAAACATTCCGTCTGAACAGTACGGTTTTAGAGCTGGACACAGCACCAATGCACAAATAATCAGAATTGAAATATAGAGCAATTACGCACTAAATTGTGTGCCCTAATTAATTTTTAATTATTTTTTTGCTTTACTGGTAAGATAGTAATACACAGAACTGTCACCTATCAGTGAGATTTGAATCATTTTTTGATTTAAATACATTTTTTGATTAAAATATTTTGACAATAAATCTTTAAAAAAAAAAAGATTTTTGATTTGATTTAAATTTTTCTGAAAAGTATCTTTTATTTTTTATTTAAAAATCAGATTTAAATCTTTTTAAAACGATTTAAATCTTTTTATTGATTTAAATCTTTCTGGAATGATTTAAATCTGTAAAATGATGCGATCTGTTTTAAAGATTTAAATCTTTTCAAAATGATTTAAATCCGTAAAAATATTTATATCTATAAAAACACTCAAGAGACGAGAAGGGGGCTGAAATCACCTGATTCGTCAAAATCGTTATCAACCTGTCCATTCCTGAATAATAATCTAGCCAGCATGTCAGTAGGGTTGCCAACTCTGTGAATCAGAAATCCGGGTAAAAATAAAAACAAAAACTAGTAAAGTGTAACAAATAATTGCAATAACTAAAGATTATTCTTAAGTATGAAATTGTAAAATATTTTTGACCCGATATTTTTTTTTGTAAAGTTGTATTTTTTACACCATAAGCAGCTGGAAATACTTTTTCATTATCGATATAATCATAAAACTCTTTAGATATGTATTTTAAATGTATGCACACTTTTATTTCAGATTTGACATGACTTACATTAAGACGATTATGACTTTTTAACCAGTTCAATAAACACGCTCGGCATAGGTAGAGCGAATTAATTATTTTTTTGATTTCTTTGTCTGATTCATCCACACATTTTTCAAAAAAAAATAACCCAAACGCGCCTACTTTGGTTATTTATTTGCTCGCAATAACTTTACGTACTTCTACTTTAATTATTATCATACAGTTTATCATGCATTTATAGACATGTTGAGAAAAGAACTCTTTTAATTCAACCCACTCAATTTTATTATTCATAGTTTAAAGATCCGGGAGATTTTAGGTCCATTCTTGAAGCCGAGAGATTTTGAAAATGAAATGCATTTTAACGGGAGAATCCCTCAATTTCGGGAGAGTCTCCTAAGTACAAAAAAAAATATATTTTTAAAGAGTCTGATGTGTGTGCATCTATGTGGGTGTTTATGCATAACATTAAGCACGTTAACTTAAGGAAGAGTTGACGGATTTGAGTGATTTTTCAGAAAACAAAAACACTTTTCTTAAAAACTAGGTCTCCATTGTTTTGTGGCATACCAAAAGTATCTTTTAAAGGGTTGAAAAATTTCTATTTACCAATCAACATGTCATCTTTAAATAACAATTTTCATAACTATAGATATCAATGCTGCATAAATCCTTAAAAATTTTATCTCGATCGGATATTTATTATTTAAAATTAATATTTCCGTAAGAATTCCATTGGGTTATTAAACAATAAAAAATAAATACGAGAAAAGTTGATCGATTTTTGCGTTTTATTTATGAGAAAATCACATTACTTAAGTATTCATTATCTTTTGTTTTATGGCTCATGGGCCTACCGAAAGCATTTTTTTAAAGGTAACTACCCAAATCTATAAAAAGATTTAAATCTTCCATAAAATGATTTAAATTGTAAAAAACATTTAAATCTAAAAAAGATTTTTAATTTAAATCTTTCTTTTTAAAAAATCGATCTTTGATTTAAATCATTTGTTCAAATGCAAACGATTTATGATCTTTGATTTAAATCGATTTAAAATGATTTTAAACAGCTCTGGTAATACATATATTATTTTTCTTTAATTTTTGTATTAATTTTTTTATTCCATGCAATAGAAATATTCTAGGTCAAATTTGACTGTCATACCATATACCCCAGGCCGGGTATTTTGGTAAGTGGTAAGCAATAGATATTTTAATTCTGTGAAAGCCAGTTCACAGAGCACTAAGAGAGCTTCAGTTTTAGATATAAATTGATTTTAAATAGGTCAATATGTAGATGGCGCTGCGCTCAATATTTTTTTTTTTTTTTTTCGATGGGAGGATCTTTCTTGTGTAGCGCATCTTGTAAAAATGCATTTTCAAGCAGATTTTGTTCTATGAACTAATTCGATAAATCTAGCCATTTTTGATATACAAAGTGGGTCACTCAAAACAGTTTCATCCTGTTTTTCAGCATTAATCATTGGATTTTAAATTTCAAATTAAAAACATTTTTACAATACAGACATCTGTCATGTGTCAACCCCTTCCCTTGCACTTCTCCAACACCTTAATTTTAAATATGTAATGTACCACATCATTGAAAAGATAATTTAATGGGGGATTCAGAAATATTTCTGTACATTGCGTTACTTAAATTTTATCGCCCTCTAGCGGGATAAAAAACTACTACGTATTATAGAGGGTGACACTACAATGTGTAGTACATCATTAAAAAGGTAATTTTATGGGGAATTTAGAAATATGACTGTTCATTGAGATACTTTTAATTGTACCGCCCTCTATCGGGATAAAAAACTGTACGTATTATAAAGTGTGACACCTTATTTGAAAGCAAATTTAATTAATTCAATGCACTACATAACATTAATATAAATATCCTCCATATAACACTTGCAATACTTTAAAAATTAGTCATGCATTATTTTGTTGCAAGTGCAATTTGAAAATATTTATAGTTATGTGGTGCATTAAATTAGCTTTCAAATGAAGTGTCACACTTTATAATACGTTACAGGTTTTTTTATACCGATAGAGGGCGCTAAAATTAAAAGCATCGCAATAAACAGTCATATTTCTGACTTCCTTATAAAATTACCTTTTCAATGATGTGCCGTACATGGTACATTCCTTATTTAAAATTAAGGGGTTGAAGAAGTGGAAGGGAGGGGATTGACATATGACAGATGTCTGTATTGTAAAAATGTGTTTAGAATAAAAATCGATCTGTTTTAGCATTTTCTCAAACTCCAATGGTTAATGCCGAAAAACAGGATGAAACTGTTTTGAGTGACCCACTCTGTAAATCAAAAATGGCTAGATTTTTTGAATTAGTTTATAAAACAAAATATGCTTAAAAAAGCATTTTTTACAAGATGCGCTATATAAAAAAATCCTGCCATCGAAAAAAAAAATATTGAGCGTAGCGCCATCTACCTATTTAAAATTAATTTATATCTAAAACTGAAGTTCTCTTAGCGCTCTATGAATTGGCTTTTACAGAATTAAAATATCTCTCTAACTTACCAAAATATCCGGCCTGGGTGATGGTATATGGGATTTTTTTTATTATTACGATTGGAAAAAACGTCGTAGAGCAATCACCTCTGCTTGTTAGAGACTATTAATAATTAAGTCAAATAATTATTTAGTTACCAAGTGAGAATCAGCCACCAGCTAATCACACTGACACTCAAGGCGGCCTGGAGGAGTACCGACGCTCCTCTGCTACCGTAACAGTTCCCCACTCTTGACTATACAGTTAGTAATCACACAAAAAAAATGTATGGCCCACATCATAGCTGGCTTCCTGACCATAGTGTTATCAAATTCACTTAAAAAAAAAAGTTTTTGAACTACTTTTCAAAAAAATGCCGAATTTGACAGATAACTAATGCAGTACCTAGTCAACTTTAATACGGACTATTAAAAAAAAACAGGGTTGAATTCCCGCCATACGACGCTTTTTTCCACTCGTAATATTAAAAAAATCCCATATGGATCCAACTTTATGGAACACACTGTATATATATATTTTTCACTATATCAGTTAAGGGATATGAATAGTAAGAGGATTCATTAAAAATGGACCATGAACAAATTTAAGCAGTCAATTTAGTCATAAGGGGTGGGTTTTAAGGGTTGAAACATTACAATAGATCATAAATTATGATCTGAAGACAAGCTTAATTACAAATTGTCATCTAAATCGATGTTGTTCGAAAAATTCTTAGATAAAGGCCTATTTTTACCATCAAACACTGGACTAAAAAGTTAATAATTTGTAAGTAGAATTTGTGGCTAACGTACATAAAATTTAACTATCACCTTATTATATTCTTCACACAGTAGTCTGTGAAGAGTATTATGCATTCGCTTCTTTCGTTCGTCCGTCCTAAGTCACATTTTTTGTCCGCACGATAAGTTAAAAAAGGAAAACGATATCAATTTGAAAATTTCGGGACCTTAATACTACAACTAGGTAACATGAATTTTTGTGATTTTGAGTTATATGCTATTACCGGTAGAATTTTGCACGCTCTTTTTAATGATACAACTAGTTAAATTCTATTTTCATTATTTAACACCAAACCTCCCCTAATTCCTTTTGAAAATAGAGCCTATTTTGAAAACCTCCCACGGTGGGCTTAAACATGATTTAAATGCGAAGTTCTAGCACCACCGATTTTCTTTCGGCATTCGATTCCCGGAGTCATAAGAAGAACTCCCCAATAGAAGATCAAAGACAGACAAACCTTTTCCTGGACCTCACCAAAAAAAAAAACTCTGCATGCACCTTTTGACGGGAAAAGGAATGATGAAAAATTGAAATTTTTATCATTGAATATTTTAATGAAAAAAAAAAAAATGTTTAAATAGTGATTGTACAAGAATGAATAGTTTGATAATTGTGAATTAATGTCTGAAGTAAAGAAAATTAATACAGAAAACGAAATTCTTTACTTTTTAAACAAATAAACTATTGAGTCACAAGTTATAAATTATATTCTCGGAGTGCGGTCAGTAATTTACTTCCATAATCTGGATGACATTTTTTTACTTTAAATTTGTCCTACGTTATCCCAAAGCCATGGTGGACAGATTCCATTGCCTGCTCGCTAAAAAACCCCAATCCTTGTTTTGTTTTAGCGCAAAACTCTGGTACATGGAAAAATACAGCATGTACCTTTGGAGTAACACTGATCTGTAGATCTAGATAACTTCTTTTAAATCTGTCTATTGCTTCTCTGTAGTTAGGTTCCAGAGTTATTGAAAAACAAGATTCCACAACTGCTCGAAATTCTCGGAAACATTTAACATAATTCAGACAACCAGGCCTGCATAAATTTTGCAAAACATCAGTTTTATCCAAAAGCAATTTGCAAATATTACCCGCGAATGCACAAATTCGCGGCCGACATTGCACCTTTTGGCACACTCAAAAGATTCAAATTCGAACTCCATTTTCATCCGATTATAAAGCGTGTTCACTACTCCGAGAATTAAATGCAATTCAGGGGATGCAATGATGTCAAGAATCTGTCTGGAGTCATCCGTGCCTCTAGAAAGAACAGGCAACTTCGAGCAATTTTTTTAATTTTTTGTTAGTGACTTTTTGAAGTTGGCTTTTTCCCATTCTAAATAATTTTCTTGGTAGTTTTGTATAGTCCTCCTCTCCCCACAAGTGTCCAAACTTTCTTTCGAAGCGAAACACCAAGTACAGGGAAAGCTACTGCCATGAGACATGATTCCTACCAATGTGTTGGCTAGTTTCAAATCGGTCGCAATTGTGTCGACAAAATCATTGATCTGTAACATTCTCATATTTTCATGGTTTTCTTGTGTACCTGCAATTATTGCCAGAACAAATAATTTTTTGACTCGGAATCCTTGAATCTTTTAGCAGAATCAGGTTCTTGCACTGAAAGGCAAATCTTAAGAAAATCTCCCCCACCATCAATACCAAACTTCAAATGGGGATTATCATTGTTTCGAGTTACTTTCATACAATCGATTAAGGCCGGAACATCTGTACAAAATGCCAATATTTCTGTAGAGGTTGTTTTCTCGCCAGCTTTGGATGTTATTATGGGGCAACTTTTGAAATCAAAAAATTCATCTAGCCTGTGGCGGTGTGTAGAAAGTTTCATTTTAAGATGTGGTTCAAACAGGTAAGTCTCTTGCTATGCCCTGAACTACTTTGCTGGAGAGGTCGTAATTTGTGGCTATTTTAGAAACATTTCCCGAAGAAATCTGTTGCGGGCCTATAGTTTGATTTTTTAGTTTCGGGGTAATTTCAACGTTGAGTTGCTTTCCGTGGATCTGAGATAATGTAGCGGTTTTATTGCTCGAGCTGCAAAAATTTGTGTCTTCATTTAAAACTATGTGCTTTATTAAAGAACACGCCAAATGTTCTCTCTGTTTCAGGGGAAGCGAGTTACTTACATGTTCTTTGAAACTCGGGAAGTGGTTTTCTGGGGAACAAAAATGTTTTTTCCCTACCGAATAAGTTTCAGCACATTTTTATTGCACTTGTTGCTCCTCTTCTTTTTGTTCTTGTCATTTTTTTTGGTGAAATTATATGGCCCTGGATCTCGTACCAATTCACACAATATGCAACTGCACAGCGTTTGAATTTTTGCCCGAGTATTCTTCTCCAAAATGTTGAACTTTGTATAGTCCGGCAGAGCTATGTTCTCGATAGTTTCACACTTCACTGACCACTGACCGATATACGATAATTTTGCAAGCGCTACATAAAACATTGGGAAAACGTTCAGCATAATTCACACATTTTTTTAAATTCACACATAAAGCACCACTGATTTTGACTATTTGATTCTTCTTCTGCAGACAGAGAAAACATATGCGCGCCCGACTTTCTTGATGGGTCCCTGCATGATCCTTTGACCTTCTGTCCATACTTTCCCAAGAAATTGAAATTTCGAAGAGAACAATTACAACTTCATCTCGAAGAGGGTCGGAGACTATCTGACGTTCTAACTAATTGCATGACATGACACATGACACATGTCGAAATACTACAGCAACTGCGCATGTGCGTGGTACGCTTAAATTGCAAACATGACGGCCTACATGGTATGCTTATTTTGAAACACCAGGGAAATGGTCTTTTCCTATCTTCTCTATACATATCTGTGAGTGTACATATATTTTTGACAAGTTGCACAAATAACATTGTTCATTCGATCTCCAGTATAACAAAACGTAAACAAAGAATCAGGGGTGGGGGTTGGTGATAATTCGATGACCCCGCAAATCAGACAAGGATGAAAATAAATAAATGGTTCTCGCTTGTTGACATACTAACGCAAAACTCATTCGAATGAAAAATCATTCTTTCAAATTTTTTCTATTTTAACCTGTTTCTGAGAATCGCCAAATAGTACCTACCTCCAGTCTTAGTAAAGGGGGCAATTTCAAAAATATGCTTTGTAAATGTTTGTGTGTTAGTGTAAAACTGATAGGAAAACATCATTTATGCCAAATTGGGGATGTTTGGCCACTATAAGTGAAAAAGGTACAAAAATCTCGATATCTCGAACACTGAAGCTTTACTCGTGAAAAAAGGCGTTTTTTCGAAAACAGCTCTAAGGCTTAAGGTGGATTTTTTTTAGCCTTCTTATGACTCCAGGAATCGGATGCCTAAAGAAAATCGGTGGTGCTAAAACTTCACATTTAAATCATGTTCAAGCCCACCGTGCTCCCTTTTAAAGAAACTGAAAGGGAAGTATCTGATGATATCAACATAAGCGAGAGCATGTAAGGAAGATTTATTAATAATTAGGTACATTAATTATTATTTGTTCTTTATTTTTTTTATTTTTTAAGCAATAAAAAGTTTTATTCATTGCTAGTTCAAAAAGTTGATAATAATATTTTCGATTTGCCGTAATACGCCTTTTTCTTATTGCCAAATTTAAAACTCCTCTCCTGAAAAATAACAAATTTTGAGTTATCTAGTTGTCTTAAGAGGACGATATCAACTTGAAGTTTTTAGTAATAATCAAGTTCTATAAGATGAAGCCTATTTTGAAAAAATCTGAATTAAAATGGGGGGTTGAAAAACGAAAAAAGATTCAACTTGAAATTTTTAGCAAAAATCAAGCTCTATAAGAAGAAAAAGTCATCTGATTTTAAAAAATCTGATTAACAATGTGGGGGTTAAGGGGGGTTGAAATTAAAAAAAAATCAAATTAAAAAAAAATCAAATCAAAAACGAAAAGAGATATCAACAAGAAAGTTTTAGTGAAAATCAAGATCTATTTGAAAATGAAGCCTATTGATTCTGAAAAAAATCGAAATTAAAATGGGGGTTGAAATATTGAAAACAATCCTAACTCAGAAACAAAAAACGATATCAAATTGAAATCTTCAGGAAAAATCAAGTTTTATAAAGGGAAGAAGCCAGTTGATTATAAAAAAAGCTGAAAAAAGATAAATGGTAAAGGGGGTTGAAATAATTAAAAAATTCTAACTCAAAAACAAAACAATGATATAAATTTGAAATTTTTTGTCAAAAAACAAGCTCTATAAGGGGAAAAATCCTTTTAAATTTGAAAAATAATCCTAATAAAAATGGGGGGTTTAAGGGGAGTCGACATTAAAAAAAAACAACTCAAAAACGAAACATAATATCAACTTAAAATTTTTAGCAAAAATCAAGTTCTATAAGGGGACAAAACAAATGATTTAAAAACACTTGCGAACAAAATGGGGGGTTAAGGGGGCTGAAATAAAAAAATGTAAATCAACACCAAAAACGATATCAACACGAAGTTTTTAGTAAAATCAAGCGGAATGAAGCCTATTGATTTTGAAAAACATCTGAATTAAAATTGGGGGATAAGAGGGGTTGTAATATTGAAAAAATCCTACATCAGAAACAAAAACGATATCAAATTGAAATATTCAGGAATCAAGCTTTATAAGGGGATAAAGCACATTGCTTCAACAAAAAACCTGAATAAAAATAAATGGTTAAGGAGGGTTGAAATATTTAAAGAAATCATAACTCAAAAACAAAAAATTAAATAAACTTGGAATTTTTGCAAAATCAAGGTCTATAAGAGGATGAAGCCTATTAATTCTGAAAAAATCTAAATTAAAATGGGGGGGGGGGGGTTGAAATATTTTAAAAAATCCTAACTCAAAAACAAAAAATTATATCAACTTGAAATTTTTAGTAAAAATCAAGCTCTATAAGAGTATGAAGCCTATTGATTCTGAAAAAATCTAAATTAAAATGGGGGTTGAAATATAAAAAAAATTCTAGCTCAGAAAAGAAAAAGGATCAACTTGAAATTTTTAGAAAAAATCAAACTCTATAAGGGACGAAGCCTACTGAATTTGAAAAATAATCATAATAAAAATGGGGGCTTCAAGGGGGGTTAAAATTAAAAAAAAAAATCATGACTAAAAAACGAAAAATAATATCAATGTAAAATTTTTATCAAAAGTCAAGCTCTATAAAGGGACAAAACAATACAAATACATGCGAACAAAATGGAGGTTGAAAAAAAAGGAATCGTAAATCAAAAACGATATCAAAAACGATATCAACATATAATTTTTAGTAAAAATCAAGCTCTATGGAAATGAGGCCTATTGATTTTGAAAAACATTTGAATTAAAATTGGGGGATAAGAGGGTTGAAATATTGAAAAAATCCAAACTCAGAAATAAAAAACGATATCAAATTAAAATCTTAAGAAAAACGGGATGAATCGTATTAATTCTGTTTTTTTTATTAAAGATGGCGGTTAAGAGGGGGGCCTGTTAAACTGTGAGGGTAAAGTATAGAAGGCCAAGCATTACATATCTTCATTCTAGTTTTATATTACATAATCTTTATCATGGAATCGTGTGGCAAAATATCTACATCTATAAATTGTGATGTTTTATCCCCACTTTTACTGCACCCCATTTTCTCTTAAGTTTAGACTATAGTTTTACCTTCTTTCCATAAATTCTTTCTCTCCCTTCTTATATAATCGACCAACTTCCTATTAGCTTCGGGCAGTAACGTTTTGAAAATCTTAACAATCTGGTCGGTTTTCGTAGACTGACTCTGCCCTATGAGACCCTGCCGGTCGTGCCCCTTCCTTCTTATATCCGAATGAGTATCAAAAGCCTCTACAAGCCTTGATCTCAACAGGTAGTAGAAAATCTGCAAATCTTCAGAAGTAGCATTGTGCACGCATTTCAAATAACTGAAAAACGTGTTTTCTTCATCGCTATTCAAACATTTGTACAGAACTAGATGTAGAGCGTCGTTTTTCGCGCATTCTTGGAACAAATGAGTCAATAATTTATTTCCGTTATTGTTTTGGTGTTGCTTCTTAAAATAAAAAGCTTCATCGAGCATTTTATTAGCTATTAACAAACTAATAGCCGTCAAAACGTCTTTTTCATCCGAAATTGGCGGTTTTCTAATCTTCATATACAACAAAGCGAAATTAGGTTGTTTGTTGATCAACAGCGACCTCATTGCTATGGTGTGGTGCCAAGATTGAAGATCTTCGCCCAATACGAAAGGATCTATGAGCTGATCCATCGCTGTTGTGAAATCTCCGTGATCGAGCTGCCAAAAAGCTTGAGTTATTTTTATTAGACTTGGAGATACTTTGAAAACCGCCGGGAATTTTATCAAATGAGTAACCACCGATGAATACCTGCAATAACATTAAAATATCGAAAAATTATTAAAAACTGAACTACAAAAAATAAAACGACTTACCTACTCTGATCGAGCGCCATAGCTAAGTCCAAAAACAAATAAATAACCAACGAATGCTTGTGGCTTATACTAGCTCCATCCACCAAGTAAGTTCTTACTAAAGACTGCAATGACGGGGGTGGATACAAACCGTTGCCTCCATCTTCCTGCCACAAATTCAATAATTTGCTACCACCACACTTTCTATTTACCAAATTATCTATAAACAATAAGCTCTCGCTGGATTTAAACGATTCTTTGGTCAACATACAGAGCTCGGCACGTTTTCCCTCATAGTATTCGGTCAGTTCTTGAACAGGATAGGGGGCGCTGATCTTTTTCAAATTATCGGGACGGGGGTAAGTCGAGGGGTGGCATTCAGGAAGCAGCCCCACATTCACGAGCCATTGAATAACCTTCAAAACGAGATTAGAAATTAACACTGAATCAAAGTCGAAATAAAATTCGATTGTGACGTCATTTATCTAACCATGAAGTAAGATACAAAATAATATTTGACGTAACGGCATTGCTTACAGTATGGAATACTAAAGGAAAGAAATCGAATACTCTGCTGCCAGATTCTCCACGAAGAAACAAATTTCAACTGTCAACATTTTTAAATATCCTATGAATGAATCTCACAAGTTAGAATGATTTTGTTTTAATTGGTATTTTTATTTTAAATATTTGTTATAGTTTTACTTTTCAGTTAATTTTATATAGTTTTGATCAATAAAACAGAAAGTGTACCTTAATTATTTTACTCTAACAACAACCTTGTCTAAATGTGATAAAACAACCTGGGCCAAAATTAATGAAAAAATGTCTTAAAAGTACTACTTTCCGTCAAAAATTTAAAAAACAATATATTTAATTTAATTTTAGTAAATTAAAAATATTTCTTAAAAATAAAAGTATTTTCAGGGGTCTACCTTCCATTAAAATGAGTTTTTTATTTTGACAAAATTCATATCCACACTTTTTTTTACACAATTTCAAAATGTTTTAATTATATTATATTCACTGATATGCAACCTTTTCAAATGATATATCACTTGATAGGTACAATAGGTACTTAAATTATTTTTTAAATGCGACACATATTTCTCTATTATTTATATTGAATATTTTTGGGAAATATTGTTTACTAATTCATCAACTTCAACTTTTTGGTTTTATTAATTCCCGTCTAATGATCTTTTTAAAATTTGTAAGAAAATAAACTACACGCGTGGAGTCCTGTTTTTAATATAAAAAATGCATGACTGCGCCAAAAAGATATATTTTTAGGGTTCATGATATGTATGTAATAGTATTATAGATTTAAGTTAAGTAGAGTAAGAAATGCTAAAGAAGTACAGTTTTGTGAAAAACTTCAAAACCACAGAGCTGGGCTGCAAGAAAGAATGGAGCCAAGAATCCATCGCGCTTGCAACCGAAAGACGTGCTATACACTGGTATGCGGACGGTTCCAAAACCATAGAAGGAACTGGAATAGGAGTGTATGGGCCGAGAACCAAGCACTCCGAAAGCTTGGGAAAATACCCAAGCATCTTCCAGGCGGAAATTCACGCCATCGAGAAGTGTATCCAGATGAACATCGAGAGAAACTATCATAGACAAGAGATTATCATCATGTCCGATAGTCAAGCAGCCATCAAAGCGCTGAGATCCTACGTAATCAGCTCAAAAATGGTCTGGAGATGCCTAGAACAATTGAATGAGCTAGGCGAGAAAAATAGAGTTACTCTCACTTGGGTCCCGGGACATAACGGGGCACAGGGTAACGAGATTGCAGATAGTCTTGCAAGGAAAGGGGCTCGAAACACCCTTGGTAGGACCTGAGCCGTTCTGCGGTATCAGCAGTAACATAATATTACGAGAGATTAAAAAAGAATTGGGCAGTAGAAGAACCGATAATTGGACAAAACTCTTGGGGCTGAGACAGGCCAAGATACTTCTGGGTGAATATAACCAGAAAAGATCGGAAGCCTACATCTGCCTGAGCAAGAACAGGCTACGTATTGTAACAGGGATCCTTACCGGGCATTGCCGACTAAAAGGACACCTAAGTAAACTGAGAGTAGAAGAGGATAGTGAGTGCAGATTCTGTGAGGAGGAGGACGAAACCTCCATTCACATCCTGAATGTGTAGCACTCCAGAATCCAAGGGCATTATATTTAGGAGGATTTTAAATAGAAAAGGGAGATTTACCTAACTTGAAGCCACTTCAAATCCTACACTTTCTTGAGAAAATAGGATTGGAAGAGTTGTTATAGGCATTGAGACATTTCCTTAGTGCATTGGCGACAGAAGGGGGCACAATAGATCTTTTAGGTCGCAGTATATTAACACCCCTTTCTCAACATAACATAAGTAGAGTAATCTAATATTTAAATAAGTAATCCATTAAAAATCTCTTTGTATACCACATTTGTGGTACGATTCTCATCTGCTAATATTACCAGATTTCATTTATTTTTAAATATTTTAATTTTTTTATGTATTTTTATTTCGCCACCGTTTCCTCCCAAAACCCCGAAAAACGTCATCATTTATTTATATATCCAATACAAACTTTCAACCCTGGTTTAACCCCTCTCAAAATGTAAAAATCCCTGAAATACCTCATGAAAAAATCAATACTCAATATATTATTATTTATTTTTCAAGAGTAGCTATAAAACCAATTTTCAAGTTCCTAGCTTTAAAAAAATCGATACTTCCATACAAATTTTCACCCCTCACAGTTAAAACATCCAGAACTCCAAACACAAAACTAAACTTTGCAACAGAGCTGAAGTACCTATGTCTCAACTTTGACAGCAAGTTAACATGAAACTCGCATTTAGAAAACAGAGTTAAAAGAGCATACATTACTTATGAACAATGCCGCCGAACCGTGGGGCGCACCTGGGGTTTATCTCCCAGAGTCAGGGCCGGCTTGTGATCAAAATTTTGGGGGTTCACAGTAGCAGAATATAGATCCCGGTACAGATATAGGTAAAAAACAGTCAGTGTTGTAGAAAGTATATTATAAACTTTCTAAAACACTGAAAGTTTTTTCATACATCTGTACTGATACCTATATTCTGTCACTGTGAACCCCTTACGAGCCGCCACTGCCCAGAGTCGTCGCATCGACTTACACGGCTATCATAAGACGTATGCTAACATACGGTGCAGTTGTCTGGGTACCAAAAACCCAAAAATTAACAGCTATCCGTAAACTAGAACAAATTCAAAGAACAGTATGTCTTAACATAACAGGAGCCATGAAAACAACACCGACTAGAGCCATTCTTAATCTCACTCCCCTTGATATTTACATCAAGGAGGTTGCTCTGATGAAAATGACGGTTCTAAAACAAAACAAGGCTCAGGATGTGGAATATACTCCAGATTCTTAAACTTAAACATAAAATGGGCTGTGAGCAGTGTAGTTCAAACAGAGCTCTCATAGCAGAAAAAGAAATAACCAGAATCAATATCACTGTAAGGAACATGCTCATCTGTACAGATAGCAGACAAGCACTACTCACCCTGAACAGACCATGAATCTACTCAGGGTTAGTACTAGAATGTCACGAAGCTTTGGCCGAAGTATCCATCAACAATGTGGTCACCTTAAAATGGATCAAAGGTCACGCCACATCGAAAGGTAACCGTCTTGCTGATTCACTAGCCAAGAAAGAAGACAACCAAATACTTTTTGGGCCTGGCCCTCCTATTGGCCTGACAAAATCGGTAGTGACAGACCTAATTAAAGAACATTCCCTTGTGAAATTTAAGAAAAGATGGGATGAAACAAGAAACTGCATAGTTCCCATGGAGCTGTTAAGTTATCCCGACAACACTGCAGCAAACAAATACTTGACTATGACTAGACATAATCTGCGCCTAGACACAGGTATTCTGACTGGTCATTGCCAAGTACGAAAGCATCTCCATATCATTTGGCTGTCAGAATCCGCACTCTGCAGAGAGTGCGAACAAGAAGATGAGACCATCGAGCATATCCTTTACAATTGCTCGACGCTCTCATTTATTAGAAGATTTGTGTTCGGCGAGTATCGGTTAACACTGACCGATATAAGAGAAGCACCTCTTAGAGACGTTGTTAACTACATTAAACCTGTAGGCTGACTCACGAGCCTATCATCTCAGGAGGATGCACAATGGGCCTAATGAGGCCTAAGTGCCGTAAGAGTAACCCACCTTCCACACGTTACAGATACGCCCCACTTCCCCCCTTTAAATGTAACAATCCTCAAATATGCCATTATTTATTTATGATGAGTAGCTACAATTCCAATTTTCAAGTTCCTAACTTTAAAGAATTCGACACGCCCATACAAACTTTCACCCCCGTTTTCCTACTTAAAATGTGATGTGTATAAAATCCGTTCTTAGCGGCTACCTACGTCGAGAAAGGAGAAAGTATACCAAATTTCAAGTCAATCGGGCTTATAGTTTTGAAGATCTCGTGATGAGTCAGTGAGTGGTAGTTCGCTTTTATATACAGGGTGATTCATTAGGGGTGGGGACCGGCCGTATCTCAGAATATTATGAAATAGAATTGTTTTTAAAAGAAACGCAAAAACAGGTCGATTTTTATTTCAACGGGGACACCTTTCTATAATATCCTCTACTGTCATATGTCATTCCTCTCCCCTACGTCAATCTAACCAATACAATTTAAATAAGGAAAGTATGACATATAGTCGGAAAGGTAATTTTATGGGGAATTCAGCAATATAACTGATCATTGAGTTCCTTTTATTTTTGCGCCCTCTAGCGGGATAAAAAAATATTACCTATGTTAAAGTGTGCCACTTGATTTGAAAGATAATTTTACTAGTAATCCAAATGCACCACATAACATTATTCTAGATATCTCCATATTGCACTTGCAACAAAATAAATATAGTAATAATGCATTCTTTTTCCTTTCAAGTTCATTTTTGATGTAGTTAATATAATGTTACGTAGTTTATTAAATTACTAATAAAATTTTCTTTCAAATGAACAGTCACACTTTACCATAGGTAATAATTTTTTATCTTGCCAGATTGCGCTAAAATTAAAAAGAACGTAATGAACAGTCATAATGCTGAATTCCCCATAAAATTACCTTTCCGACGATGTGTCATACTTGCCCTATTTAAATTGTATTGGTTAGATTGACGTAGGGGAGAGGAATGACATATGACAGATGATGATATTATAGAAAGATGACCCCTTGAAATAAAAAACGAGTTGGTTTTTGCATTTCTTTAAAAAAAAATCTACTTCAAGATATTTTGAGATACGGCCGGTGCCACCCTTAATGAATCACCCTGTATATGGATATATTACAATTATTAACGACCTTAACTTCAAAAGGGTCCAAGTGTCAACCTTTTTAGAAATGATATTTTCGATATACTAAAAATATTCAAATGGTTCTAAGTGCTAACGCAAAGCAATTAATTTATTAGAGTAGGATAAACAAGGTGAATATGTCTAAAAATCTTATTTTACTCATAACATTTTTTAATGTTTTTGGTACTTAGACCCGTTAGAAGTTAAAGCCTTCAATTATTAATAAATACATTATTTGACTTGCATTAGGAGGTTTAAAAACACTTGGATTAATTTCGTAAAGAATTTTCTTCAGATATATATCTGTAAAATATCTGTCTACACCCGGAAACGAAGTAAATTTTTATATTTTTTCCTACCATGTTAGATAAATTTTTGATAAATATTTAATTTGTCCATTTGAGATTCTACTCCTCTCTAGTCTCCATAGTTTACAGCGAATGCGGAAAAGCTAATACAGTGTATCTACGTAACTTGGCTATATATGAAAAACTTTTTTAATTTTATAAAAAAAAATGTATTATTCAAAAAAAATTGTGCATGATGTAAAACCTACAATACGATCATCAGATATCAAATTTTAGGAGTCGTATGAAATCATTTTAGGTCAAGAGTAAAGTACATTAATTTTTGACAAATCTGGTATAAGAGTCTCAAAATTTGATATCTAATGGTTGTATTTTAAGTTTTGGACCATTAACAATTTTTCCATATGCCGCCAACTGTCTGCGTAAGTTAGGACCATATGGAAAACTTTTTTGTTATGAATTTTAGGAAAAATAGTTATACTTCATAACTTAAAACCTAAAATTCAATTATTTGATAACAAATTTTATTATTCGCATACGAGGTTTGCCGAAAATAAAGATACATTGTCACTTTAGCAAAATTTATATTTGCGCCAATATTTCCTACCCCATTGAAGCGAGTAAGAAAAACTTCATGCCTAGATAAATACCAAATAAAAAACGTCTCCTTACCTCAAAATACATAGAAACCATCTCCAATCTAGTACAATGCTCGTTGATCACATCCATGTAGTTAACGTAGCTCCCTAATTTCCCAGCGACGTGTTTATACAGGACGCACAAACTACTCAATTGTCTCGTACAACTGTTAAACAAAACGTTGGTATTGGAATCCAAGTTAGATTGTGAGTAATCGAAAAGAGGGGCGCAATATTTATCGCAATTATTCTTAAGTACGATGGCTCTTTGAAAAGCCCATGTTATGAGGAAATCCAAAGAACAACCGGCCGAAGAAAAACTACCGTTGGCCCATTCTGAAGCGCATTTGCACAACCAGCTTATTAACTGATGCTCTAATGCTACATTCAAGATGAACTCTCTCTGCGATTCGATAGATAGAGCTCTACTAGGCAGTATATCCACGAATATCGGCGTCAAACCAATCTTAATGGCTTGTCGACATACATCAGCCGGTCTTACAAGACACAAAGGACCAGCCAACTCGATTTCGGCCAACAGCGATTTCTGCAAGCCTTGAGAAAGTATCAAGACAATGTCGGTTTCGCGCAAAATCCACAAATTGAATGAGAATGAAGTGGGTAAAAAGTGTTCCTCTAATTTTTGCACACCGACGAACTGTGTCAACGATTTTTCATTTAACAATACTTTCAATATGGGTGCTGGTTTCTGTCCGCTGAAGATAATCAATTCAGTGAGACTCGTCCTTACGATGTAATTGTTGCAGTTTTTCCATTTCGTGAAAGTTGGCATTTGTTCTTTGTACCATTGATTGAGATCGAAAATTAAAGAGCAGGTTTGTGTGTCTGATTTTGAAAACCAAACCGTCCAGGATATGAAACAAAGGGCTGAAGTGTCGCCTGCGGTTGAAGGTGAAAAAGAATCTTTGCTGGTAGAGTGTTTGGTTATCGGCTGAATTCCGATACAGTGGCCTCCTTTTGGTAATGCTACGCCCCTGAAAGAGAGATCAAAAGATCTTAGCTATGAATGGCCATGTTTAGAGCAACCTAAATGTATACCTTAGTTTTGAAAATTACTTTTTTAAGTTATCCTGATCACTAACTTAAAAAAAGGTTTCAGATCTTTATTTCATTTAGGAAACTCTAATATACATAAAATAGAAAAAGTACACACTAAACAAAAAATTAATTATATAGATGTTAGCTCTTAATTTATATTTTTGAATTTACGCGCCGCGCCACTGATCAACGTGAATGTTTTCGTCCAGGGTACCTATTCTTGAATTCGGGGGAATAGAAAACCGGTTTTGCCTCTTTATCTACAACGCGCAAAATTTGTATTTTTGTCTCATTCTTTCCTCAATATTTCTACTCCGTGAGATTCAAGAATAGACACCCAGACATGTTGAGTAAGAGAAGTTGGCCATAAGCGGCAATCGCCGCGGTTATTTTCTGACAATAAAATGAGTTTAATTGAATTATCGTGTTTAAATATAATTGAAAATGAGTCTAAGTGATCTAATTTCGATTAACAAATAAATAAACTTAACATTTCAGAAATGGATGTAAATGCCAATATAAAAATTTCGTGTCAAAAACTTTCAAGAACTGTGTGTTGTTATTATTAGCGTCGGGTGTCGACATAAAAACTGTTTGACAAACAATACGAAACTATACCTACGGTGTGTTTAAATAATTAACTGAGTAAAAACAACTCTTAATTTAAAAACTTCGGTAGTTGCAGAACTTTTGAAAAATATTTTTTTCTTTTATTACTGTATGCTGTGGGAAACCCAAGAAACAAGACGTCCGAAAAAAATGGTTCAGGTGATAACAGCCTTGAGGGTAACGATTTTTCTAATGTTTGCTCTGGAAATACACAAGATAATAACAGTGATTTTTATTTAACTCGCATGATGGATTTGATGATAAGTGAGAATAAACGCAGAGATGATGTAATGATGCAAATGCTTCAGAAAATTACCTCCCAGCCTAGTGATATTCAAAATTCAAACAGTCAGGCAAATAAACAAAGTGCTTTTCATGCATTACCTGATGTATTGCAGGTAATAGGTTACTTTGATGAAGATAAAGACGTGCCTTGAGCGTCTCGGTGGCTAATGTAGAAGCAAACGCTAGATTAAAGAGGTGGCCTGAAAAGTATACACTCGAAACTGCAAGGGCTCATTTGATAAGTCCAGCTGTATATTGGTTTAATAGTAAAAGCTCATTTATTCATTCTTGAGATGATTTTAAAACTTTATTTAATAAAACTTTTAAACAGGCCGAAAGTTTATCAGAAAAATGGGATAGAATGCGTGCTAGAAAACAGGGAAAATCTGAATACATCAAGTCATATTTTCATGAAAAATTAGATTTATGTACTAAGTTGTGTTTATAATTTTACTAAATAAAAGAAGTTTTAGCTGGTGTTACGTCAGGGGCGAGAATCCCAATACCCGACGCATCGAAGCGGCGTGACAGGGCGCGGGTATCGGAGTTAAAAATCATTAAGATTCTGATAGTCTTCTCAAAGATTTACTGAGTGCTTATAGAATGAGAGCAACACGTTTATGTGAAACAAATAATGTTTTAGAAAATAAACATTATAAAAACAATCTTATAATACAGCAATGGATTCTAATTTGATAAAACACAAAGAAAATGTTTCAAATGCGGTCTTTATAATAATACTTCCGAATAATATAACCTTAATCAATATATTTGTTTTGGATGTAAAAGGGAGGGACATATGTCACAAAAGTGTCCAACAAAAACGATAGAAGTTCATCAAGTTATAACCTCCTCAAAATTTTTATCCACCCAGAAACACTGCTAATATGAGTAAAAATACTGTAAATGTTTTAGAAAATAATTCAGAAGGAGAAAATAGTTTAAATATAGAATCATATGGTGCTAGTGTTTATGTCAGAGAAAATATTCAGTTTCAAACTAATACTCTGAATAAGCATAAATTTTATAAATATATTTTATTAAATGATTCGATAGTACGTAGCAGGTTTATTGATACAGGAAGTTCCGTTTGTACAATTAAAGAGAGTATTGTTAAAAAGTTTGCTTTAAATACAATTTATGAGGTACAACCACTTTGTTTTCGGAGAAAATTCAAATCCAGCTTTACACTCCTTTGGTAAATTAGTAGTTAGAATTAGCATTGATAATGTTGTAGCCGATAAAGTTGACGTATTGATTGTTCCTGATAATAGTCAAGAAACTGGCCATATGATTGGTAGAAGTTATTGTGAATTGCTACATATAGCATTGCTCAAGACTGGGGAGCAATTTGTATTTGGTTATGCTAATGAAGTACCATTTAAAAATATAAATATTAAAACCATTTTAAAAACAAATGCTAAAATTGGTCAGCATAATATAATTCATAGTTTTGTAAAACAAGATGCATCATCTACCGAAAAAGACAAAAAGCAAATTTTAAGAATTTAAATGCTAGTGAGCATAAGGCTATGTTAGACAAGAATAAAGATAAGTTTTATTTAAAAGCTAGTAGGAAAAGCTACCAAGAAAGTAAAGAGGTGGAATAAATCGATTGTTTCAAGCGACTATAAAGACAAAGAAGGCTCTAAAAAGGAAATTAAAGACAGAAAGAGCAGGAATAAAACGAAAGAAGAGAAGTCAACTAAGAACGTAGAAAGGAAACATGAGAAAGGTATAACAAGGACAAGAAAAATATAAAAAACAATGGGATAGAAAGAAATATATTCGTCACACATATGATTTCAGAAAAATTGTACTAATTAGAGCACCTCCAGTCCCCACAATAAAAAGTACAACATTGCAACCTAAATATAAAAAACCATAGACAAGAAGTTTAGCTACCCGCACTTACAGAGAAGAAACACTCGAGGAAACACTTGATTATAGTGAAAGAGATAGAAAACATGAAACAGATGCCCATGTATCTGGGACGAAGAGTGCTCTAAAGCCACAATCTACCACAAACAAATAGATCAAGACCAGTGAAATTTAAAGACTATGTTTAATTCATAAATATTTTATCCTATACTAGCTATTGCTCGCGACTTTGCTCGCATATAGACGTGTTATTAATATAAAAAAATACATGACTTCCTTTTTTATTAATTTTTATTAGTTTTATTGATTTTCATTCATTTTTTTTCATTTTTTTATTTTTATTCATGTTTATTCATTTTTTTTTTATTTTTATTCATTTGTATTCATTTGTATTCATTTGTATTCATTTTTATTCATTTTTATTCATTTTTATTCATTTTTATTCATTTTTATTCATTTTTATTCATGTTTATTCATTTTTATTAATTTTTTATTAATTTTTTATTAATTTTTTATTAATTTTTTATTAATTTTTTATTAATTTTTTATTAATTTTTTATTAATTTTTTATTAATTTTTTATTAATTTTTTATTAATTTTTTATTAATTTTTTATTAATTTTTTATTAATTTTTTATTAATTTTTTATTAATTTTTTATTAATTTTTTATTAATTTTTTATTAATTTTTTATTAATTTTTTATTAATTTTTTATTAATTTTTTATTAATTTTTTATTAATTTTTTATTAATTTTTTATTAATTTTTTATTAATTTTTTATTAATTTTTTATTAATTTTTTATTAATTTTTTATTAATTTTTATTAATTTATTTTTATTAATTTAATTTATTTTTATTAATTTATTTTTATTAATTTATTTTTATTAATTTATTTTTATTAATTTATTTTTATTAATTTATTTTTATTAATTTATTTTTAATAATTTATTTTTATTAATTTTTCTTATTTTTTCTTATTTTTTATTAATTTTTATTAATTTTTATTAATTTTTATTAATTTTTATTAATTTTTATTAATTTTTATTAATTTTTATTAATTTTTATTAATTTTTATTAATTTTTATTAATTTTTATTAATTTTTATTAATTTTTATTAATTTTTATTAATTTTTATTAATTTAATTTTTATTAATTTTTATTAATTTTTATTAATTGTTATTAATTGTTATTAATTGTTATTAATTGTTATTAATTGTTATTAATTGCTATTAATTGTTATTAATTTTTATTAATTTTTATTAATTTTTATTAATTTTTATTAAGTTTTACTAATTTTTACTAATTTTTATTAATTTTTATTAATTTTTATTAATTTTTATTAATTTTTATTAATTTTTATTAATTTTTATTAATTTTTATTAATTTTTATTAATTTTTATTAATTTTTATTAATTTTTATTAATTTTTATTAATTTTTATTAATTTTTATTAATTTTTATTAATTTTTATTAATTTTTATTAATTTTTATTAATTTTTATTAATTTTTATTAATTTTTATTAATTTTTATTAATTTTTATTAATTTTTATTAATTTTTATTAATTTTTATTAATTTTTATTAATTTTTATTAATTTTTATTAATTTTTATTAATTTTTATTAATTTTTATTAATTTTTATTAATTTTTATTAATTTTTATTAATTTTTATTAATTTTTATTAATTTTTATTAATTTTTATTAATTTTTATTAATTTTTATTAATTTTTATTAATTTTTATTAATTTTTATTAATTTTTATTAATTTTTATTAATTTTTATTAATTTTTATTAATTTTTATTAATTTTTATTAATTTTTATTAATTTTTATTAATTTTTATTAATTTTTATTAATTTTTATTAATTTTTATTAATTTTTATTAATTTTTATTAATTTTTATTAATTTTTATTAATTTTTATTAATTTTTATTAATTTTTATTAATTTTTATTAATTTTTATTAATTTCTATTAATTTTTATTAATTTTTATTAATTTTTATTAATTTTTATTAATTTTTATTAATTTTTATTAATTTTTATTAATTTTTATTAATTTTTATTAATTTTTATTAATTTTTATTAATTTTTATTAATTTTTATTAATTTTTATTAATTTTTATTAATTTTTATTAATTTTTATTAATTTTTATTAATTTTTATTA